CCTGTGTCCTTTCAGTCTGGGGATCTGAAGAAGGAGAGGCAGTAGTCGGGAGCTCTTGGTGGTCCTGGAGGAAGGATGGGCTGCACCTTGGGGGCCCCGTTCCTCCCACTTCTGGGACAGGTGCCCAGTGCGGCCAAGCTCCCGACTTGACCAGGCTGGGGATTTGCAGGGGAGGCCTGGCTCATGCCCCTGTCCTCCTGGGCATGATGTGACAAACTGTGGGCAGCTCCAGGACATGCCAGGGACCTGAGCACACCAACTGTGTGGCAGAAGCAAAATTTTGTTCCCAAGTTTGCAGCCAACCACAAAATGGGCATGAGTAGCCTCCCGGGGTGCAGCTGACCCCAAAGCAGCAGATGGACCCTCTTTGACTGACAGGCTACTGGGAGGGCCTTGCATCCAGCTAATGGCCGAGCTCTGCCAGTAGCTGCCAGGAGGCCTGTGCCAGCTGGGGTCGCCCTGTCCTCCCAGGACTGCAGTGTGGGGGCCCCAGGGAGGGAGTCAGGGCTGATGTCAGCTTGGGTTTAGGTTGGTGAGGCAGCCCCACTGTGGGGAAGGACCGTAGAGGATGCCCCTGCCTGTGCGCCAGGTGCCTGAGCCCCTGCTCTGCCCATGACTCCGTGTGGCTGTCCCCAGCACCCCAGAAAGCCTCAGAGGGGCAGGACCCTGTGCTGGACAGCAGGCAGAAGGCCAAGGACCCGGGTGACCCCCACCACGTGCATTCCCGGCACCTCTTGTACCCCAACGCCCCGGTCACACGTTTCCCGGTGCCCAACGAGAAGGTGCCCTGGGAGGTCAGTGCTTGTCCAAGCCAGGATGCCCACCGGGCTGGAGGTGCCTGCCTTTCCAGGGGAGCTCCTGTGCCTGAGAACCTTCCCGTACTGCCCAGCCGGGCGTGGATTAGCACGTGGCAGCCTCACAGGGCCGCGGGAAGGAGAGGGAGCTGAGGCTCGTAGGGCCGCACAGCTGGAGGCGGGGGGTGGGCTTCGAGCCCAGGCGCCTGGTGGGCCTCTGACCCACACAAACAGCTGTCTGCCCCACTCCCTGTATTGCCCCTCTGCCCCCTTTCCTGAATGCCAGGTGAGTGCCAGGAGACAGGGGGAGAGGGAGGGCAGAGGGCAGGGCACTTGGGTACCCTCCTCCTGGGCGCAGGCTCCCTAGCTTCTTGGGAGCATTCAGGGTGTGGGTCCCACTGCCTTCTCTGGTCTCTGTCTCCGCCGGGTGCAGCCCTTCACCTCCGGGTCCAGCTGAGCCCCGCCCCATCCTGGGGAGCCTCCCCTGACCACCTTCCCACCTCCAGCCCCTGGGTGGGGTCCCAGCTCAGAGCCACCAGGGGCCCTCTGGGGAGGGGGAGCTGCCCATGCTCCTGGGGCCTGGGGCCCAGTCTAAGGGGGACCCAACATTCTGTGCAGACGGAGTTCCTCATTTATGAGCCTCTCTTCTACTCGGCTGAGTGGACGGACAAGGGCCCGGTGGACCCCATGGGGGGGTGAGTGGTACCAGCTGGCCCTCAGTGGCCTTGCCTCGGGCCGGGCAGGAGGGCTGTGTGGTGGCCGTGGAGGCCCTCTCTGGGGGCCTGCCTGTGCCTGGATGGGTGCCACCCTCCTGGAGAGCTGCAGACACGCTGGAAGGTGCGAGGCTGGGGTGCCCATGGCCGGGGGTCTCGGTGCTCTGGGTGCCTCCAGTCTAGGGCCAGTCCAACTGCAGCTGTGCCCCCTTCTCCACGGGATGGACGGAGCTCTCCGCTTGCCTGCAGCACCCTGGAACCTCTGTCTGGGATCAGCTTCAACGCCATGGACGGGTCCGTTGATCGCCGGAGCTTCCATGGGGCCTACGTGGTGCAGGACGGGCTCCCTCTGTGAGTGCGGCCCCACCGTCGCCTGCTGCGGCCCCGTTATGGGCGCCCTTGGACGTGGGTCCGGGCTCGGTTTCCTCTCTTGGCAAATGAGGCGCTAGTCAGATAAAAGCAAACAAAATCGGGAAGAAAAGAGGCGGGAGCGAACAACCATTCCTCAGCCCCATGGGCCAGGCTCTGCAGCTGCCCGGCCACACTTCGCGGCACCTCGCGCATCCCCTGACCCTGGGACTGCTGATTCTCCACCTGAAATGGGGGCGACCCAGCCGGCTGATCTCCCAGATGGGGGACAGTGAGCAGGAGTCCCAGGCAGGGCTCTGCCAGTGGGGGCAGTAAAGACCCCACGGGGTTGGTGACCCGTCCCTGTGCCCCTGCTCTGTGGGGGCCAGCACAGTGCCTGGTGCTTACATTTAGGGTCGGTGACGTGTGCAGGTATCGGGGGCCCCTCCCTGCTCTGGTCTAGGCCAGTAGCCTGGGCTCTGGGAACCCAGGGCTGGGCCGGGCAGGGTGGGCACATTCCTCCTGTGGTGCCCCCACCATGCTGAGCAGACCCCTGTGGCTGCAGGAACCCAATGGGCCGCACAGGACTTCGTGGGCGTGGGCACCTCTGCTGCTTCGGCCCCAACCACACGCTGCAGCCTGTGGTCACCCGGTGAGCACCTGTGAGGACACCATCACCCGCGTGCCCCATGAGGGACTCATCTGGGCCCTGCCTGTGGTCCCTGCTGAGAAGGCAGCTCACACTTAGCATGGTGGCCACCTCAAGGTGGGGCCTAGATAAACGTGGGGGCACCTGAAACAAAGGGCAGGAATGTCCATGCCTCCTGGAAAGCTCAGGCCAGCCCTCCCCACCCTGGAGGCTGCCCTTGCTTCTCTGTGGGTCCCCCTCCCTTAGGATGCCCCCGAGGAAGGACGAGGCCACAGCCAGGCCCACTACTGCACACAAAATGATGGTACATAGAACCCCAGAGTGGTAGGCCTCGGACACTGAGGCCCAGGCACATGCTGCGTTAAGGCCTTCTGAGGAATGGTGTTCTCCAGAAGGCGGTCAAGGAGTGGGCAGGACACAGCTGGGGACAGTCTCAGTCTGCCCTCCAGCAGGTCTTAGGAGGGGAGAGGGTCTGCCCGGGACTGCAGGGGAGGGCAGGGGAGGGCCTCCTGTGACCTGCCCTTGGTGCAGGGGGAGGTGCACTGACACAGGAGCCTCAGCCAGGTGTGAGCCGGGTCCCTTTGCAGCTGGAGGCGGAACCAGGATGGAGCCATCTGCCGGAAAAGAGTAAAGAAAATGCTGGAAGTGTTGGTGGTGAAGCAAGCCCTGTCAGAGCACTGGGCCTTGCCAGGGGTAAGCGTCAGTTGGCCACATGTCTGTTCAGCCGTTCCACCACGTCCTCCTGAGGTCACGGCTCTGGGCAGCCCTGGGCCTTGTCCCTGGTTCTGAGTGACAAAGGCTGGTGCTTGGCATGTGGGGAGGGACCCTGCTCCTCCATCTGCGTTTTGCAGTTGCGAAAACAGGTTTGGAGGCACCTGGTAAATGTGTCCCGGGCACCAGGGTTATGGCTGGGGCCACCTCAGAGGCCAGACCAGGTCTCCCGCCCAAGCTCGCAGCATCTGGGGCAGACGCGGCTCCTCACACAGGGGTCTCGGGCGCACCTGCCCTTCACCGTGTGGTGCTGAGCTCAGCCCTAATGACCGGATAAGGTCAGCCAGGGGACGGGCAGTGGGTGCACAGCCCCTCAGAGGCGGCAGCTGCAGGCCTGAGGCTGTGTCCCCCCAGGAGCCTTTCGGGAATGGGCAGATTCGGGATGCAGAAGGCCCAGGGATTCCTGTCCATGTGGGCTGAGCCCACCAGTCTGCCCCAGCCTCCACGACCCCCTCCTTACCTGGGGTCAGAATAGGCTGGTCCTCTGGGAGGGCTGTCCCCTGTCAGGCCCCAGGACGGTGCTTAACGTTGGGAATGTGGCTCTGGTGGGCCTGTCCCTGGGGAGTCCATGATTTATCCCAGTCCGGCAAGAAGCCACCGGGTTTCTCAGACACCCACCCCATGGCCCAGCAGCTGCTCTGTGTGGGGTAGAGATGCCCTGAGGTGCTCCAGCCCCTGGGGGTTCCAGGGCTCTGGGTGGCTCTGGCTCTGCAGCCACGACCCCTGTGGTCCACAGCCAAGGGAGTGCCTCTCTGAGCTGGGGGTTGGCTCCCACCTCGGGTTCTCCACACAGTAGACCCAGCCTCCCTCTAGGGCACCTGGCCTCTCCCACAGGATACCGGCACAGCTCTGGCTGGTTCTTGCTGATGGCCTCTTCCCAGCAGCACCCCTAAAGCTCCAAGCTGGGCCCTCGGGCACCTGACGGGCGTGCCTGGGTCCCCACTCTGGGGCTGGAGAGGGACAGCGTGTCTTGAGAGCTGAGACAGGAGGGACTTTAACTGGGTCACCCTGATGGGGGCGGTAGGGGGAATGCAGGCAGATGAGTGTCCATGGGGCAGGGGGCCAGGAGTGGCCAGAAGTAGCCAGGAGCCAGCATGCAGGAATAGAGGGGAGAGATGGGGTCTGAGGATGTGGAAAAACACTAACACATGGCCTCCAACGGGAAGCCAGGATGGCGAGGCTGGGTCACTGCTACCCGATCGGGAAGCGCCTTTGGTGACGTGGGTAGTGGGCTCTGGGCAGTGTCATCTGGCCCCGAGACAGCCAGGCTGCCAGACGCTCGTCTGCCTTTGGCTCCAGGGGCCTGGCTGGCTGCCCATGCCGGGTGGGTGGCCAGTGGAGGTGGCTCCTGGGGAGGCTATGCAGACCTGCCTCCACTTCCCTCTCTGCTCAGGGCTCCCAGGAGCCAGGGGAGACACTGCCCCGGACACTGAAGCAGGTCCTGGGGAGAGAATGTTGGCCTTGCTTCCGGAACTTGCTGGCACAGGGCATGGAGGTAAGGTGGCCTCTGCCTGTGTGTCCTGAGCCCCTGGCTTGCCCCACACCCCCTCCCCAGTCCTGAGGGATGTAGGGGGAGCCGGAGGGGACGCTGGGGAACCTGCTCTGCGCCCATATCCCACAGCTCCTAGAGGAAGGAGCTGGGCCCTGGCAGTGTGCTATGCTGGGCCTTGGTCACCTGCCTTCCCTCATCCCTGGTTCTCTGCTTCCCTGCATCAGGGTGGCCAGCCAGGACCTCTGCTGCCTCGGGGAGGCCTGGTGTTGGCCCCTCCTCGTGCATCACCCTCACCCTGACCCAGCTGCGGCCCTGGGGATACAGTGTCCTGCCTCCCAGGGGAGAGGGCTGTTGGGACACAGGGCCTCAGGCTCCGCACACCAAGACAGGGACATACGTCGGCCTATTTTCTTACTCACAAAGGTGTGTGTGCTCTAACACACCCGGAGTACAGATGGGTAAACGATGAACAGTGAGGCCACCGTCACGCCCACCACCCCAGTGCACCGGGCAGTCCTCCCCAGGCATCCAGGTTGGCCGACTCCAGCCTTCTCCCCAAACATGAGCACGCCCACACAGTCTCAATGGGGCCACACGCGAGTGTTTCTCTGTGGCTTCCTCTTTCATCTCATTTGTGATGGGCGATTATTTAGGTTCGTATTCACAGATTTGCCTCACTCTTCCCAGGACCGCACACCACTTCATACTGTGACCTAGTTAGGTGGACCTCCAAGTCCGCAGCAGCTCTCACAGGGTCTGTCTGTCACACGTGGAATGGAACGGACAGTCGCCGATACTCACTGTCTGACCCACGAACACAGCAATTGCCTGTGGCTTGTCCCGCACAGGGCCTCAGGGAGCCCTGCCACCTCTCTTTCTTTTACTTTGTAAAGCAGGGCTTGGGGGTCCCTCGGGTGGGCCTGCTCACCTTTGCACTGCCCCCAGGTATACAAAGGATACGTGGATGACCCAAGGAACACAGACAATGCCTGGATCGAGACAGTGGCCATAAGCATCCACTTCCCCAACCAGAGTGACGTGGAGCTGAAGAGGCTGAACTGTGTACGGGGCTTGTGTGCAGGTTCCAAGGGGTGAGGGGTGGGCGAGCATGCTCTGGGGGAGCCTCCAGCCTCTGGGAAGGGGTGTGGCCAGGTTCCTGGGCCTGGGCAAAGCTGGTCAGGACCAGGGATGTGGGCTGCAGGGGTCACAGTTGTGCTCAGAAGGTACCAAGCAGAGACCCGGGTGAGGCCAGGGGGCACCAGGAGGTGGCCGAGTGAGTTAGGGCTGGATGGGCCCTGGGACAGTCCTCCCGGGTGAGGCTGCTTCACTCGCCTTTGGGAAGATGCTCTCCCCATACATAGACTGATCCCACACACCCTGGATCCAGAACTGGGGAGCCCCAGGAGCAGAGGAGGGGGCATTGTTTGCTGGCTAGGATATCGCAGAGGGGGCTGGCCCCACCCCATCTCCCTCAAGGGCTCGGGGCATGCAGGCACTTTCTGAGTTGTGCGTGAAAGCCGTTCTTACTCCCCTCGCAATGGAGAATAAAGTGAGCCAGGTGCAGGCCAGGCCTGTAACAGGCTGGAGACGGGGCGTGTGGTACCCCGCTGCCTGCAGCAGGTGAGGTTTTGGAGTGTCTAGGTGGAGGCAGGAGGGAGTCAAAACCCACTTTGCACTTACAGCACCTGCATGCCTGTGACCCAGAGACGGCCATCCGATGGCAGGCCGTGGACAAGTGCATCCCACTGCATCCCAGCCACAAGGCCATCCTCCAGAAGGTGGCCGCTCTCTACGGGGCTTTCTACTGACCTGTGGGCTCAGGCCAGGCCCTCTGCCCAGAGCAGGCGAGCTGGTCCTTCCACAGGGACTTGAGCTGCACGGGCTGCAGGCTGATGCCAGCTGCCTGGGGCACATGCAGCCTGGACGTGGACAGGCAAGGGGCCGCTGCCAGGGCACTGGGGATGTGGTTTGGGGATCTGTGCCCCTCTCTGTCAGCCCAAGTTGCCTGTTAAAGAAGCTTGTGAATTGGAGTGCATCAGGGCCCCTGTGAGGACAGCCAAGGCAGGGGACATTCTGGCTGCAGCCACGCGGCAGGTCCCCAGGGCTGAGGGGAACACCAGGACCCCAGCAGACATCACTGCCCACCACCCTCCAGAGCCAGCTGGCAGCAGCTATGGGGCTGGGCGGGGCTGATTCCCGCCTGGTGGGTGGTCACTAGCAGC